CATCAGAGAAATATAAAGTAAGCAGGCCTATTTATAATTCAAGGGTGGGGGGTGGATGACTGAATGGTTAGCATGTGCGCGTTGTATCATAAGACCTGTCATTGAGTCAACTGGCGTGGTTTCAAATACAAGGAGTATGGTCGCCTGTCCAACCTCGTGGGTTTTTTCCGGGTCCTGCGGTTTCCTCCCACTGCTAAAGACCCCTACGAGCAACACCCGCAGTCTATTTATAATTCATTCATTTCATTGTTATTTTGTTGTTTCAGTTTGAGTAAAGTCCCCTCCCCCCCTGGCCTATTTCAGATTCATTGTTAGTTTTGTTGTTTCATTTGGAGTGAAGTCTGTATCATAACAATCCCAGGACTGTACAACACAGTTGGAGGTTACGGTTGGGTTAGAACCCCGAACCCATTCACTTATAAAGATGTGACGTCATACTTTGATTTGGTTGTCGAGTGGTTTTGAATCCCCGCCTGTACGTGACAAGGGGTAGGATCGCGAGCGAATTATTGAAGTAGTACTGAATCATATGTTAGTCACGAAATGACCTAGGTTTGACACCCCCCCCCTCTCTCTCTCTCTCTCCCCGCCCACCGCCCACACATCTATTTGTATACATAGCTATATTATTTTGTTTCAGATGATTGAACTCAGTCATGGGTATGGTGTGTTCATATATCCATCAGATCTCGTCCACGTCAAGAAATTATTCGAGAAAACAAAGAGTGGACAATCCGTGACTCGTCACCTTCTGAGCGTCATGTTTACAAAAGAAGAGCTATGTTTCGGTTCAGTATCAAAAGATCCTAAACCTGGTCTGGCGTCATTGGATGCAACCGTAGTTCAAGCCATAAGAGGTAAAATTTTGTTTTCACAGTGTGGCATGGTTACTATGGTGCCAGCATATTAACACCACGTTCGATCTCGGTGTAGGCCGAGAATATTTTTCGAAATTTTCCATTCCGGTTTCTTCTTGTCAATGGTGCTGGGCGGTGTGTCTGACAAGGACAAGATCTAGCTCTTGTCAATGGTGCTATGGGCGGGGTGTCTGACAAGGTCATAATCTAGCTCTTGTTAATGGTGTTAGCCGGGATGTCTGACAAGGACACGCCTCTAGCTCAAATGGTTAACAGAAAATCGGGATTTATCCGTGTTGTGCTAAAAAAGGCGCTTGACAGTTGGTTCAGACCCTGCACTGTAACAAACATATCCATGTAAAAACGTAAAAAAATTACGGAAACAAAAATTACCATGAAAATTTTATCCGTATTTATTTATCCTTTAATTTACAGAAATTCCTTCAATTAACATAAATTCCATTTGGTAAATTTTGTTTCCTGAGCATGAAGGTGATAAAAATTTCATTGAACGAACCATTGACTTTATACGTGTGCATTAATGACTTTATTTACTGTCCGCTTCCACCGAAGTGATATCGAAGGAAATCTTTAAACGTAACCTCTGTTCGCTAATATAAGAATCGAGAGCAAGGTATCACAAACCGCTACTCGACGGTGGTTGGAGGCTTTCAGATGTGAGTTTGCGGTATTATCAATTTGCAGGTATGTAGACGCTGTCATAGAGACAAACCGACTTACACTGGCCAACCGGTTATACTATCCAGATTCAAGCGTGCTTGATTACCAGATACTACCTTTTCACACACGCAGCGTTAAAACATATTTTTACACATTTATGAAAATACTTACAATCTGATTACCGTATGATGAATAACAATAAACTTTATAGATCTTATAAATAATGGAAATTAGATATACATGTCAATTAATATACCAAACGGTACAAAATATGATTCTTCATATTATGGTTAATATATTGAAATGAGTACTTTAACATGATAATTATTAGGAATGATTATATATGTATACGATTACTTATCGGTACCGATAACAGAATTACAGAAGGGAATAAAACATTATATCCCTAATATTCACGAAACCTCCTGGTCATTCCACCATTTATTCCGTAAAATAACAGAATTAAGTCCATTATAGAAGGGAATAAAACATTGTTCCCTAAATGTCACGGAAATTTCCTGTTTAATATTGAATATTCCACTGAAATAGATAAAACACGTAATTTGAAGAAATAATTCATACTATTAACACAATTTCTCCAAAAAAGTCATCAATTGACAAAAAAAGGTGCTAAACTACTGAATTCGCTCACATTAAAAATGGATATTTTTTACAGTGTGGGGTTACCCAGCCCATACCTAATACATATTAGCCAACTAGACTGAAACAATGGCCATTTTATAATGTATGTTAATCATTTCAGATTACTGTGTAGCAATGTCAAAGGACAAGAACGTGGCCATTAATCAAGCTCTTCACAACAAAGTAACCACGTACAGATATAAGGCGAGGTGTAGGGCAACAAGTCCTGAATACTGATCATTGACAGTGCTTATCTAGATGAAATTATGGATGACGAAACCCCCGTGCTTATTGAAGGAGTCAAGTCGCTAACTAACTCAATATCATCCAGTCTTCGACAATGCAAACAGAAACGATTGATGTTTCAGTCAAAATGAAAATATTAACATTGGCACTTGAATCGCGTGTAGAATGCTTCGGGTTCCATTTGCATTAAGGGACTCGATGAAGGAGACTAAATATATCCCACGTAGAAGATTATCACCTTTTAAATTCAGACCCTTCGCGTATTTTGCCAAACATAACTGATTATAAATTACAGTATAATAGAAACGATTGAATGTAAATCAGGTTATATATATTCATAATACATTATTATGTGTTGCGACCTATTTGTGTCCATTACTGGGTGCCACAGAATAGAGATTTAGCTCTTTCTGGGTTGATTGCTTATTATATTCAAATACTAGATTGGTGGGGAAAACCCGTTCTTATTTAATCAAGATGCTGAGTTGGTGGAGAGATTTAAGGCCAAGAGTAGCGGAAAGATATCAGTAGAATATACCACAAGTTCCAAATACCGATTATTGATAGTGCTTTTATTGCTGGGTTTGTGGGGGAAACACCGGATTGTTTAGTTAAAGTGCTGGATGGTGGGGGATACCCCGTGATTATTTAATAAATATACTGGGTTGGCGGGGAACCCCGGGCTTGTTTAGTTAAAATATTGGGTTGGTGGGGAAATCCCGGGCCTGTTTAGTTAAAATACTGGGTTGTTGAGGAAAATAAATTGATCTTCAAATTGAATCCGACCTCTGTTTTATTGTCTCTGAAACATTTCCATCGCGGCGCCCTAACCTAACCAGGCGGTGTGGTGTGTTTCATTGACTTGAAGACCATGATAAAAGTGACCGTAAATATAAAAGTAAATATAAAAGTAAACATAATCAATCGCTGTTTTAATGAAATGCAAATATGCTTGTTTTTGTTCAGTTAATATCGATGTGATTCATGATGTCATAAATCAACCTCTTCTATGTACCAGTTTGCATACATGAAATTAAAGGGAGTAAAATGAGATTTAACCTGTTACGAGTTTGCTCCAACTGGGCTAATGAAGACGGACATACGCCACTACGCCCTCCTCTTATATCGAATTCCAACTGTCAAATGTACGTCAAAGTGTTCACCGGAAAATCACGGAGAACTTTCGAAATCAACAACGGGATTGGACCACTTGCCCCTAGTCAACGAATAACTGAGCCACAGCGGCTCCCATTTTTTAAAGTATCAAATATATCAAGTATCATCAAGTCTATAATACCCGCCCTTCTCTTCTGCCCCGATTGGGTTAACAAAGACGGACATACGCCACACACAAGGCGCTATGAGGGGAAATTTAACCAGTCAACGACGCTACGGCCTACTTTTATGTCAAGGGTTCTGCACGGGACCTCAGTTTTCTGTACCATCCGAATGACTACACCTTTTTTCTTGCCAGGTCTGAAGGCCTACACCAGTGCCAACCCAGGATGAGTCAATAGGGGGACGATTAGGTTAACGTCCGCTTTAATTGAATCAAGTGGTGTGGGTTTGATCCCGGCTTATTACTGGCCACCGTCGTGCTAAAGACCTGTACACGTGCAGGCTAATGAATTGATGGATTAGAGAAATATCATATGTCGACGGTGTTAAAAAAAACTCAACTAGAACGCCCAGGGTCACATCCCACTTGTCCGGGATCCCTGTCAGCGAGAGGCGTGGGGGGTCGATGAATGTTAGAAGGGCAGAATCTGAAATGCCCGAAAACATTTCGGTTTACAGAAAGTAGTTCCGGTCGTCTGCGAGCGGCGAAGGAGGCCATTCCCGCAAATGCGTTTTCTTGCTGTTCCAGCCCATGAATGCAGCAACTTCAAAGTGATCTAATGTACCCTTACTTAGGTAGATGACTCGAATACCAAATCATTCACATTCCACGGAGACGGGGAAAGTCGGGAGAAAATTTTGAAACTTTAACTGCCGCAAACCCGTTTTCCTGGCTCGTACACCTATGAGAGAGAGAGAGAGAGAGAGAGAGGGAGATTTCGGGACTAACATGGTTTAATTTTATGTAAAGGATTCGCTTAAGGATCTTTAGAAGTGGGAGGTAACCGCAAAACCCGGGGAAAACTTATGAGGTTGGACACTACGTCTTGTCACGTACAAGCGGGTAATCGAAACCATGCCATTTGACTCAATGACAGACCTTATGATCTAACGCGCTCGCGTTAACCATTCGGTCACGCAACCCCAAGCAATATTTGGAGAATTAATCTCTCAACTAAATATCCGCTTCAACCACAAGGATATTAAAGATACATTGTCACAAATGTATTTATCAGGTGGTTATTTCCAGTAACAGTATGACATGATATATGAAAAGTTTAGACGCCCAATCTTACTAGGAAACTACTCGATTACCGTATCATCTCAATGGAAGCGGACGTAAATTAACCTTGATATTATATCAAGTATTATAATATCAAGGGAGTCGCGGTGGCTCAGTGAGTAACGTCTATCATAGAGTCAATTGGCGTGGATTCGGTTCACGCATGTACGTGACTAATACCCCGTTCAGACGCTTATTTTTAAACCAGTTCAAAATCGCCGGGGTTTTTAAGACAGCGTCGTGTTGCGTTCACACGTACTATAAGTCAAACCTGTTTAACTGTTCTGACCTCTTCGGTCGGAGGTTAGAGTTAACTATGCATGCGTACATACCATTTCCTGGTAGAATATGTAAACATCCTGTGAAAAAAAAATCCGCGAAATTTGTTTCTCTTACTCTCGGATAGTTTATACACTTAAATGGGTCGCAACACATAATTTCTAATTAGTTATATTCGTCGAAATACTCTAGATGTCTAAATCGAATGGCAATGTCTAGCAACTGGTTATTCCAGTCTACACTGATAGTATTTATTGTGCATGCTCTCCAGATAAGAATATGACTTGTGGGAATATGTCTAGCCTCATTCTTCTAGTCCCTTGTTACAAATGACACTGAAATGCATTACACAATTCGTGTACCAATGGTTAAATGTTTGTTTTGTCTCAAATATTGGATATCAGAAACCCATCTTTTCCCCGTTAAGATCACAAGATCAATGTTGATTGAAATTGACAAATACTTTGTGTTTTCAATGTCGCAGATTTTGGATGATATTGACTACTTTAAGTTTAATTATTTACCTAATCTAATTCCTTTACATTTTATTTTCAGCTTTTATGATGATATACAGTATTTAGAAAACTTCAGAATGTCAAAATGTACATTTGAATATCTGTGCAGAATTTTGAGACCATTTCTTGAGAAACAAGTAACAAGTATGAGGGAACCAATATCTGTTGAGCGACAGGTAGGCTATTTTGCATTTTATGATCGCTGTATTGGTTGAGATATTCACTTCTGCTTGGAGAATATAAGAACATGCAACACATACTATTATTTTCTATGTTGGCCGCCTACTGATTTGGATTGGAAGTAGATATTTGTTTGTACATGTAGATGGCCTTAGTAAAAAACAAATCTAGTTTTGTCAATTTAATACTAGACTGAATAATAGATTTTATCACTGAACTAAAATGATTGGAAATATTGAGAACAATCTTCTACCCCTCCCATTTAAAGTATGGTAACCCTTTTTTTTTTAGGTTGGCATAAGTTTATGGGTTTTAGGGACCAATGCTGAGTACAGAACTGTGGCTGCATTATTTGGGGTTGGCCGGTCAACCGTGTCTTCAATTATACACATATTTTGTGAGTCCCTGATTTCGATCAAGGACAAATTCATTAAATTTCCATCAGGTGAAGAACTGAATAGAGTTGTAAATGGGTACCGGTCGAAATGGGGATTTCCAAATGCAGGTGGAGCAATAGATGGCAGTCATATTCCTATATTAGGACCGAGCATGAACCATGCTGACTTCCATAACAGAAAAGGGTGGTATTCCATCATTGTTCAAGCAGTTGTGAATGATCGTTATGAATTCACAGACCTAAATATCGGGTGGCCAGGAAGTGTTCATGATGCACGAGTCTATGCAAACTCCAAAATATATGCAAAAGGGCTGTCTGGGACATTATTTGCCGGCAAGATGATTGATGTCAATAATGTGCGCCTGCCTATCGTCTTGTTAGGTGATCCGGCTTATCCATTATCCAACTTTCTAATGGAACCATACACAGACAATGGACACCTGACCCCAAAACAAAAGACATTTAATTATAAGCTAAGTAGTTCACGCATGACGGTAGAAAATTCCTTTGGTCGCCTAAAAGGTCGCTGGCGCTGCTTATTAAAGCGATTGGATATGAATGTTGACAAGGTCCCCAATATTATTATGACCTGTTGCATACTTCATAACATATGCGAACAAGCAAAAGACCCATTTAGGGTTGAATGGCTAGAGGATGTAGCAAAGGAAGAAAACCAAATGCCTCAGCCAAATCAAAGTAACGAAGAGGCAATCAATGCAGACTGCACTAACATTAGAAATATCCTGGCTGAATACTTCCAGGAATAATTTAACCTTACAAAACAAATAATTAAGAAAGTAATAATTGGCCATACTGTTACATACACTCACTACAAAGAATTTCTATGTGTATATGCCATCTTTTGTTTACTTTTATTGTTTCATTTTGTGTGTTTGCAGAAAACTAAAAAATGGTCAAACTAAATTGGTTTATTTTCATAATAAAAATCATACAACAGAAAAATAACTGATAATCTTATAACACAGTGGGTCTATTATAACTATATATGTGATCAGCTCTGGCCAAATGGTTGCTATGGAGTTCAATTTGTTTCCAAAATTTTCAATATCTTCTTTCTTAAAAGTAATATTATGGTACATTCAAATTTAAATATTCCAAGCATATTTCTAAGTCACATACTAATTTAAAGGTATTTGGATACAGAATTTAAATTGACACCTTTTGGCATCTTGATTTTTGATCCATGCATCTCATTAAGCCAGAGTTGGATTATATAATAAGAGGTCCAATTGTCATCTTTGTTGTCCATCACTGAAGAAGTGTATGTAATTAAAAATATACAGTGGACTCTTTCACTTTCAACATTGTACAGGACCGATACAATGCCGGATTATACACCATGACGGAATACTTAATTGTCTCAAAACTGCAAGTATTATTGTACCTCGAATACCAAAGTATTATTTTAATGCACCTTCGAATACCCAGAACTTAAAAATATGATAAACCTTTCTGTACATTTGAAACTTTATTATATAAAATTATTATGTTTTTACTTTGGGTGCGTACAAAACACTTGTGCGTCGTTATGAACAAAATATTATAATGATAGTGATTCTTCATCTCAGCAATTTATATTTAATGTTGCTGTATTTGACGTGAAAAAATCAAATGAAATACCAAGCACTCTCTTACAAGAAATTATAAAATTATCAAGGTTTTATTAACAAAGACTGACACATACTTTAAGCTCACCGATAATTGATTGCTTGTCGGTTAACACCCACTGATTGAAGGCCGGATTATCCAATGTTAATTCAACAGAAATCGTTTAACGGGGGTCCCCAGATTGGTCTAATAATTCGGAATATTCCGAGTCCACTGTACAAGCCTACACTATAAAGTTATTGATCAATTTTTAATTTATGTCTTTCAATTAATGTATTAAATAAAAGAGAATTTACCATTTTTGAAAACATAACAGACTGTTTTGTTCTTATTAGGGGCTTATCAATTGACTTACAAAGAAGAAAACACCCACCTCATACCGTTTCGCATTATTTGATAACGATAAGAAGCCAAGTCAAAACTTTGCTTTAGATATAAACAAGGATTGTCCTGTGTATTCCCAGTTCAATTGCTAAATGCCATTGAAACAATTAATCTCATACTGGTAATTTAAATTCATAAAAACTGAAATCACATAAAACGTGTTACAACTACAGTTAACTTTCACAACCAAGTACATATATCAGCTTCATGACACATTTGATAATGATATGGATATTAATAATTAAAACATGGAAATAAATTTATTAAAACTTGAGCCATGGTAAAATGGAATGACAAATAAAATTCATGTATTTGTAGAAACAAAAATAAACTGTTATCAATGACAATAATTGCGCTACATGTCAGATATTTTGGCACAAAATGGTATATCTTGAAAATAATATGATTCAGCTTCATGATACATTAAGTTAAATGATATGGATATTAATAATTAAAACATGAAAATTAATTTATTAAAACTCTAGCCTTGGCACAATGGAATGATAAATAAAACTATGTATTTCTACAAACAAAAATTAACTGTTATCAATGAAAATAAATGCTCTACATAGCAGAACTTTTGGCACAAAATGATAGGTCTTGAAAATAATATGGTTTTATAAATTTGTATATGTGTGTCCATTAGCTCCTTGTAAAAATTGTGGCTGCGGAACATGTCCATTTTGTTGTTGAGAAAATTGATGCTGCTGAAATCCCTGATTGGCAAACAAACTCCATAATTTTAATTCATGTTGCCTATCTCTTTCCCTATCCTCGCGTCGTTGTTCCTCAGCTCTAAGTCGATCCTCCCGTCTCTGCTCTTTTCTAAGTCTCTATGAATCTGCCTCCATTCTCATTCTTTTTTCTTCGAATTCAAAATATGATCTTTCTTGTTCTCTTTGATAATTTATAAAGCTGGTTGTTGTCTCATTCAGAACACGTTGAATTATATCCTCTCTGTTTCTTTTTTTCTTTTCTGGTCCTGTAAGTAAATAAAATAACTCTTTAATGTTTAAATAAATGAACAATGATTGACAATTCGGGCCTCGAAATATCCCTTCAGTAACTAACCTGTCACTCTTAATTATCCAAAAACAACCACAATATTTACCATGGTGCCGTTACACATGTACTTCTGTGTAGATACTTCAAAATGCTATAGATGAAAACTTGTGTGGATGGTGTGTTAAAGTTCTTATACAATAATTGGGCGTGGTTCTGTCCCTGGAGGTCAGGCATGTACCAAAAGAAACCATATTGTAAAGGAATAATTAAATAAATGTGACATCATAATGAGTAGGCCTATTGTGGTCTGGAGTCAATTTCCTGAACATTAGTAAATTTAGTCCACCTACTTACTACCTGTCAGACCTGTCAGAGAACATTTCAAGTCCTGCATTTCATTTCCATATAGGTATACACCTTATTAAGTCACTCTTCTGTTTTGTTTTACCTATTCATGGCTACACTATTTTGAATCCGATCTTATTATGTATTAAAATCATAAACAAAATTCTTTAGGTAAATAATAGCTATATAAAGTAGTTAAAGGCGTTGTCACAGGTATGACTTTTTTGAACACCTATAATTTCTAATTTGATTGGGGGGATCACGTGGCTAAGTGGGTAAGACGCTGGCTCGCTAGCCTGGAGGTCGGGTGTTCGATCCCTGCATTGGCCGAGAAAGTTCATCTCGATTTTCCGGCGTGGTTTCCCTTTGTCAGTGATGCAGAACGGAGGGCCTGACAAGGACAGCTGCCTAGTCATTCGGATGGGACGAAAAACCGAGGTCCAGTGTACACATTGGCGTGCACTTAAAAGATCCCTTGGCAGTTGGAATTCGATATAAGAGTAGGCCGTAGCGCCGCTGCCCGGGCAAAATTTCCCTCATAGCACACTGTATGGCGTATGCCCGTCTTCAATTAGCCCAGGTTAGGTGCAGAAGAGTAGGACGTTAAACCCCATTTCATTTCATTTTCTAATTTGATTGGGATACAAAATCAAATGTTCCGTGTACTTTATAACCAGTAAACATACCATTTGTCCTGCACAACACTCATCTATACGTACAGCTAGTTTTCAGTGGGATGTTATTCTAGCATTTTTTAAAATTTATATTGAATCACAGAAGGAATTAGTGACCGGTTTACCACGTTCTTAGACAGAAAGCAGCTCCAGTGTTGTACTCTTTTCAAATATTGATAACCATTTAGAATAAATAGCAACTGAACCTTTTTTTTCTGGCTGTTTACGGAGGACGGTTTCTGTAGGCTCATTTTCTTCATTTTCCAAATTGACTCTTGTTGGTTCCTCATCATTATCATCATCATCAAAATCATCCAAATCTTGTGTTTCTATAAAAAAAGAAAGAAAAAATACCATTATATAATTTCCATAAGTTTTGATTTTAAAACACTAATTCTCCAATGGTTATTATGCAAAAAAATTTGATTTAATTTGTTTTGTGTGTATATGTGAGTTTGATCCCATGTTTGTAGGCTTATATTGCCTGCCAACTATCGCATCGATTTAGTCTTGCTCCTGACAATATAATAACAATAACATGTTCGCTTACCTGAATTAATACTTGTCTCCAGAATATGTGTTGGACGGGTAGCGGGTCTGGTTCCTAATATTTTATCCATAGCGTCAAAAAACTTGCTAGTTTTCTTGCCACTCCCACTTTTATTGTTGTGGTCCTTTATTTTTTTTATAAGAATGCTTCATATTCTTTATGCGATTCTTGCAGGCGTCTGCAGATTTTCTGTACCCATTTTCCTGATAGATAGAAAATATAAAATAAATTTACTACTAGAATATGAGAAAACCGGGATTTATGAAAAATGCTTACGCTGTTATAAATAGTATTACTAAAAGAGAACTAAATTTTATTAACTTGTAATATACACAACTAAAAACAGTTGTTTATGTAACTGTAACTCGTGGCTTACTGTACTCCAAACAATAGAGGGTATGAGTCTTCAGATTTCTATTTAATTGCCTAACTATAGACACTCTGAATTTAAATTCGCTGTTAAATTGGACACATTCAAGAACACACTATTTTTTATACAACTTTTACAAAGTACAATTGTGTGCAAAAATTTTCCCAGCATTTGGTGCCCAAAATGGGGGGGCCCCCCCCCCCCCAGGTCGTACGCCTATGGACAAACAATGATAACTTGGCTGAGAATGAAGTAAATCAAGGGGTTTCCACATTTTGCTCCATCTGTCTAACATTGTGAATGGGGAAAACTTTAGTGGTCTGTGACCAAAAAAATAAAACTGTGCTAACAAAATGAAACTAGATTTGCCATGGCTAGATCTTATTCTTAAGGTCAACTCAATTCTCGTCGATGTCGCTGAGATGTAATAAGTAGAGCGTGTGATTGTTGGTTAGGGTTAGATTAAGTATTAGGGCTAGGTCCAGGGTAAGGGTTAGGGTTGAGATTAGCGTTAACCCTGTTTACATCTCGTGACCTTTTGCCAAACTTGAAGTTGTCCTTATTAATTAGATTTAACCCTTTGTGCCTATCTTCCTATAAATTTTTCTCGAAACGAAATATAATTTTATATACTTAATGTTGCAGTGTTTTCGGCAATATGTCCTTCCGGCACATTTAACCAAATGTGAATATTTTTGGGCATGGTAGGCCAACATTAGATAACTACAATGACTTAATATTGAAAATAACTGAAAAATAGATAAATTTCGTTTCGTGTGAAATTCTGTGTTTCAAATTTGAATTTGCTAGAGTTCAAAAGGTCAATTTCTGTTTATCAGTTTGCAGTAGAGTTTTTGGAAATTTCATTAATAAAAAATCAACAGTAAAAAAATATTTTGAGAAAAAAAAAATTAATATGATATGTAAGTTTAACGTGTTACTAGTGCAGGTAACTGAAAATTACGAATTTTGCCGTCAGCTGAAAGGCACAATACTGGATCTTCAATGAGTTACTTTCTATTTTTCACTCGTCAACCGGCTGCAGATTTCACTCGGCCAACTTCGGTTACTCCTCTACACCAAACCATGTTTCCAAACAGAGTTATCTTTCCGTGACCCGCAAATTATATTTTTAACTGGTTTGCTTTTGGCGCAATATTCTGATGTTTAGGCTAACACTGTTTTTAACGGCGTCAGCTTCTTATATTTATTGGGCTACAAACACTAAACAGTTGTCTTTTATTTTCTGAGGAGATTTTCTGACCTGGGTAATGTAAATGAAGTTTGTTACTTTATAGTAGGCTAGTATTTTACTAAAACTGCATAAATCAAATCTTAATCATAGATGTACCGATTGTAAATAATTTTTTTTGCTGACGAAGTCTTTTCTAACTTTTGGGGTAAGACTACTAACTAAGTAGCCTACATTGAAATTAGTGCTAGTACAGTAGAAGTGGTCTTGGCGTCGGGTAATCGATATGAAAACAAGTCTACATTATAATTAGGCCTAGATATCTACCTAGTCCGACTTCATTTCAAGCATTTTATTTATACCCCTTAAGTTGTAGTAGTGACAGTTTTAACTACAAGTAAGTACAACAGCAACCAACAGGGGGTCACAGTATCGTGACTCGTGGACTTGTCAGGAGTATAACTTGAGCCTGAGAATGATCAATGAGATACACACAAATGGATAAGTCTGATAATCAGTTAATAAATCAGATGTAACTTGTAAATAAAGGCACTGTATGACAGTGTATGTAGGCCTACATATGATATATATTCTAAATACTAATAAATAGGCCTAGTAGTATTGTTTTATTAATATTACCTATTTATTAATTAATAGGGTTTCAGGTCAAACTCAAAGTTTCAAATGATCAAAACGCTCTATATACCAGTCAATGCGTGGGATGGCACCAAAATAAGTGCTTTTCTGTCATATTTGAGTGACGTCATGAGTCATAAGCGGTATTTTCCCTTCAGAATCGCTATACTGGCTAGGCCCTATAGTACCAATTTTAAAACTGAATGAAATCCGCACGTTATTGTCAGCTAAGATTTATTAAAATCATAATTATATATTATAGATCTAATTTCAAATATTATACTTAACTAATAGAATCAATTAAGCTTTTACTATCTAATATGTGAATTTAGGGTAGTTACATTATGTTTCTATTTCAGTGTTCATCAATAGTGGTTTTGATTTTTCACTTGGATTGGTGGAAGAAGGTACCATACAATACTATACTACTGTACTGTGTTAGATTGTTCAGCGTAAATTGGTTTCAAAGACCTTTCCAGTACGCCACGGTATTCAGTATAATCTAAGGAAATTAAAACAGGTGAGCAAGTTACATTGTACTCAAATATGGCTTTACAAAATACTAATAGTACTAGTAGAATTAATCTCTCATTGCCTAACAAAATTCTGCCTGTTGTTATATGTAGAAGCTATATTATTAAACGAAACATAACAAATATTAAATTCTCTAGATGTGAAGAGTCAAAATACATGCCTCCAATTAAAGATTTGGATCAGATTATTGGGTCTATAAAAAATGACAAAGACTTTTATATAGATTTGCCATATGGCAATTTCACTTTGGGAGAAATAAAACGTTTTCGTGATTTTTACATTGCAAAAAGAGTAAGACAAGAGTTGGAAAATGAAAACAAATATGTTTTGAATTGGCAACCGATAATTACTACCAGAGTTATGGCCCTTGATCACTTTGAAAAATCTTGTGAACACTCTAGAGGCTAAAGTTAAAATCCAATTGACTTTAAATTTATACACAGTGTTTAAGGTCATGAGACAAGACGCCTATTGATTTTCAGCGAGATCTGATGATTACTGCAAGAGTTATGGCATTGATATGTGAGAGACATCAGTTTAAAGTCGATTCTGGTTATTATAATCTAATGTATGAACTTTGTGTTGATTTTACCAGCCTGTAATTGTGGTATCATAATTAATTGTGATTTTAACATTTTTTTTAGTTAACTATATTAAATGAATTCCAAATGTACGTGTTGGCGAGGGGGTACATTAATAATTATATGTTTTTGTAGTACATGTTCCTTGTTTTATAATAAAACTACGCCCTTTCAGTTTTCAGAAGAAAAGTATAGAAAATATTTCCAATTATCTATCTTGAGGTAAATCAGTTTATTATTTTCATTAACAGTTCTTATTTTTGTAAATTTTTATGTAAATCAACTACTTGTCATTGGAGTGCATCTCAAAATTCACTTTCCTTATCTACATAAAGTTTATGTAATAAGTTATAGTGTGTAAATTTGAAGTAAGTTCATATGTTTTTTTATTAATTATTTACAGATCACAGAGATTGAATGCTGCAGGTCTTGTGTTTAGTGTATAGACTAATTGGTGGATGTTATTAACATTAACCTTTTAGCAAAGGTTAGCTTGATGATGTTACTGACTTTGCAGTGTAGTGGAAGATGTTAACCTAACTTTGGTAGACAACAAGCCTAACCCTGAAGTCAACGATGTACAATATGTCAGTGTCACGGTTCCACTACCAAACGTAACGCGAATATAAACAATACTTACGGGTACATGTATTTACTTTGATTGAAATGAGGTCAACTTAAAAATTTGTGTAGATGTGTTATTTGTTGTAACAGTTATATCCATAAAAGTTATATCCATAAAATGTAAATTGTATTTTCTCTATATTAGTATAACAGATTAAACGAAATAAGATTATTTCACTCATGACTCGTAGTCACCCACCATCGTAGAAGTGTCAACATATCGAGAACACGCATTCATGAACCATGATTAGTTGGGACAAATTAATAATGAGGAATACTGTTTTCAAAGGCCTTAAGACAGGAAAGTGGTTATTGGTCACAACATTCATGTGTCACTGCAGGGGAGGGGGTGGAGTCAAATGATAATGCATTCGTGTTGGATAATAAGGTCTGTCATTTAGTGAAGAGGCTTAGCTTCGTTTCCAAGAGTAGGGTCGACTGCATTCCCACTGTTAAGATTTCGAGAAACAGGGTCCAGATTCTCACATCAGATACTTGAACCACAGAAAAGGTTACCTTTCAGAAAATTGGCTCTGTAGCCTAAAACTGAATCGCCTATATCTCGGTTCAGAGCAAAGCAATCTGACTGAAATTTCAGCATTTTCTGTTTCTATTATTTATTGTTGAACTATTATAGCGAGAACTGTCAGCTCTTATCTAATCTTACCCAATGGCGCCAATGCCCCTTTAAAATGCCCCTTATAAATCTAGTTTAAAATCCAAATATTTGTCTAAACTTTAGACAGACCTTATGATCTACTAGTATTCTCCAGTTGGTCAATTTCACTGCAAGTCAGTCAAAACGGCCAAACATGACTGGCGAAAATAAGACAAATAAGGTTGGAAGTACCTTCAAAACAAACCATGGCACTTGAATCAATGACAGACCTTATGATCTAAAGCATACATCAGACCACTCAACCACACAACTGGTAAAGACTTTAGACAAATATTTGGATTTTAAATTAGAAACAAAACCATACTGTTGAAGATGTAATTGAGACAAGACATTAGACTAGCACTTATATTTATTAGCAAAAAAAAGCCAACAATTTGATTGGTTTTAGTGCTTAGCCAATCAAAATTGAAATTTCTACTAAAATTTGGATTTGATCTTAGTTAAAATTTCCCTACTTTTAAGTTCTGGTAAAATGTCCTTATGTGTCGGAAGTTCTGATTTGTCGACTAAACGAAAGCGACCAGACTGTCCACCGTTGGCTTTGAGAAATGCGACAATTTTGATCGGTGACATACTTTGCGTTACAATGGTGTACATCTGATTTCTAGTGGAATGATTTATAAAGCGAACTGGAACGGGGAGGTTATACAGTAAGCCGTTAATCTGGCGTGTGATATGATGAGGGAAAGCAGGTCCAAACAGTAGATCTTTTAGCATTTTAACTTTTATGAATTCGTCTAGTCGTGCCTGGGCAGCTTTTAAAATAAATCTATCAGCATGACGGTAATGTGGTTTTCTAGGATATTTCTTCTTAGCCTGTGAATCTGTTACTTCTTCCTTCATTTCAACATCCGTGTCACTGGTCTCAGTTTCTGAATCAGTTCCCTCAGCTGTAGTAGCTGTAACGTTTTCTCCTGCATCCTCGGCAGCTTTCTTCAACACCTCCGCTTCTTTAAGCAACGTATCAAAACTGACAGATTCTATCACTTGATCAGGTTTAGTGTAAGCAGAAACCTGGAATGAAAAACGATTTACTAAGACATGATATCTAGGTTAACTTTAAATAATGGCATTCATCAATTAAAGGTCAAATCTGTGCCTAGCCAGGAAGGCATTTTTATGTGCAATACAAGAGCAGAACGAAAACCAAGGTGGCTCAGTACATGAGGTGCCAGCTCTGTGGATAAGCCATCGGCTCAGGGGTTAAGCCACCAGCTCAGTTGGTAAGACAATGTCTCAGTGGGTAAAGACCCACCTCTGTGGGTAAACCGCTGGCTCGGTGGGTTCTGACTCGGTGTGTAGGACACTGGCTCATTGATAAGAATCTATTTTTAATCTGGCCAATGAAGTTCCTCAGGTTTTTCCAGCCTTTTTTCGTCTTGTTGCAAGGGCAAGATGGACTGGACAAGAAAAAAGGTCCCTTGTATAGCCATTGGCAGCATGTTGACGGAACGGGAAAAAAATGCACGATACTGGACATGAGATTCTACTCCTTGTCACATACAAGCTTGGCTCAAATTGATTCAAGGACATATCTTATGATCTAAAGGGCATGCATTAGACCACTAGACCAGCCCACCCATATATCAATCTTCTGGTGTTGTCACAGGATAACCCTGCTCAAGGGACAGGAACGTTGCTTCAGTGAAAGGGTGTAGAAATGCAATGCTTGGCTAAATTGGTTTTTATACGCCCACACTGAAATGTGGACGTATATTGCCGTCGCCCCCGTCCGTCCGTCTGTCGGTCCGTCCGTCCATCGTCCACAATTTCTTATGAACGCTCTAACGCCAAAAGTTATCATCCAATTGTTTTAAAATTGATATATGTTGTTTTCATTAGTGAGATGAAGAAGCCTATTTAATTTCAATAACTTCCGTTTATTACGTCTAGAGTTATGGCCCTTGTTTCACTTTGTTGAACCTTGTGAACGCTCTAATGCCAAAAGTTAACATACGATCTTTGTGAAATTTATATGCAATATTTATGTTAGTGAAACGAAGAAGCCTATTGAATTTCAACAATTTCTGTTTATTACGTCTAGAGTTATGGCCCTTGTTTCACTTTATTGAACCTTGTGAACGCTCTAACTCCAAAAGTTATCATCCGATCTTTCTGAAATTTACATGCATTATTTAAATTAGTGAAACAAAGAAGCCTATTGAATTTCGGCGATTTCCGTTTTTTTACGTCTAGAGTTATGGCTCTTGTTTCACTTTATTGAACCTTGTGAACGCTCTAACTCCAACAGTTATCATCCGATCTTTCTGAAATTTACATGCATTATTTAAATTAGTGAAACGAAGAAGCCTATTGAATTTTAGCAATTTCCGTTTATTACGTCTAGAGTAAATGGCCCTTGTTTCATGTTATTGAACCTTGTGAACGCTCAAACGACAAAAGTTATCAACCGATCTGTATGAAATTTATATGCATCATTTAAATTAGTAAAACAAAGAAGCCTATTGAATTTCAGCAATTTCCGTTAATCATCTAGAGTTATGGCCCTTGTTTCACTTTGTTGAATCTTGTGAATGCTCTAATGACAACAGTTATCATCCGATCTGTTTGAAATTGATATGCATGATTTAAATTAATGAAACGAAGAATCCTATTGAAGTTCAGCAATTTCCTTTAATTACGCCATGAGTTATGGCCCTTGTTTCACTTTGTTGTACCTTGTGGTTGCTTTAACGACAAAAGTTATTATACGATCTGTATGAAATTTAAAGGTATCGTTTAAATTAGTAAAACGAACAAGCCTATTGAGTTTCAGCAAATTTCCGTTAATTACATCTAGAGTTATGGCCCTTGTTTCACATTGTTGAATCTTGTGAACGCTTGAACGACAAAAGTTATCACCCAATCTGTATGAAATTCATATGCATCATTTAAATTAGTGAAATGAAGAAGCCTATTGAATGTCAGCAATTTCTGTCAATTACTTCTAGAGTTATCGCCCTTGTTCTACTTTGTTGAATCTTGTGAACGTTCGAACGACAAAAGTTATCATCCGATCTGTATGAAATTGATATGTATTATTTGAATTAGTAAAACGAAAAAGTCTGTCGAATTTCAATAATTTCTGTAGATTACTTCCTGAGTTACAGCCCTTGTTTTAGTTTTTAGAACCTTGTGAACCCTCAAACGACGAAAATTATAATGTCATCTGTATGAAGTTGTCTATTAAATGCCCCCTAATTACCTACAAAAGAACAAATATACGACAACTCTTGTCGACCGCTCGGACGATTTAGCTGCTGTGGGCGTATGTTTAGTTGCCTGGCAACCTATCTTTATATAATGTAGGCCCTATTTAGCTCAGGAATACATAGCCCTAAAGCTAATTCAAGTATTCAATAGAATAACTTACCTCTATGACTGGTTGTGTTTCGTAGAGCTTAAACAAGATATCAGCTGCTGCAAAATTTCTAGAGCCTATCTTACTAAGAGACACTGCAGGTTCGGTTCCAACATCTTCCTTCTGTATCTTCATCTGACATCTTAAAGTAAAAAAAGAGAGAAATCGGGATTAACACTCACACAAAACAAACCAACATTTTTGGACTGACACCCAGGAGGTTTGACTCAATGAAAGACCTTATGAGCTTGGACCACTCAACCACCCCTAAAAACAAAAGAAGAGTAACAAGCAAACTGAACATTTCAAAATTTTGATCAATGGGACAAGACTAGATCTTAAAGCTACAATTTCATATTTGTTAAGTTATATTTTTAAAATTTATTAAAATAAAGCCTTAAAATAGATGGTATCCATACACAGTCCTACCTTGTTAAAGAATAATCCTATTAATCCTATAATTCACTATTGCCAGCTGCGAAATTGGCAAAATTATCATTTTCGAATTCCAACATTTGAAGATAGCTAATGCATGGAGGCAATAGGAAAACAAGGGAGGTAATTGTGTTATTATTTCCTGTGTCAATGATTTTTAAGGGTGGGAAATAATGCCCATAGTCGTATAATAGTGAGTTGATAACCTATTGAGCAAAAGACATAGAAATAATTATGTTTTGACTTTCATAGAAAATATGAAATTCTGGCTTGAAGGCTAAGGCCAGGAAACACAGCCTAGGTCTTACAGTTAAGGCCGGAAGACGCAAGACTACAGTAGGTCTTAAGAGATTCAAGACTAGGTCTTAAGAGACACAAGACTAGGCCTTACAGTTGAGGCCAGAAGATACAAGACTAAGCCTTACAGTTGAGACCGGAAGACACAAGACTAGGCCTTAAGATTATGGCCGGGAGACCAGACTAGGCCTTAAGGCAACTTACCTGAATACACGATCATCATTGTCAAAAAACTCCCATTCCAACAACATATTGTTGACAAAACATGAATGTTGTAAAATATAGAAACCTTGAACTTTACGATCTACTATCCAACTGACGTCCTCAAAGACAACGATATCCTTGGCTGGTAGTGTTGATATAGGTTTTCGGGTCCATTGTAAGCGATGAAGATTCGAACAGTTATCTTCCAAAATGCAGTTGCCCTTGACACGAAAGTCGATAACATCTGTTGCTGCTTGGTCGTGTGGTTGAAGTTTACTGTGTTGGGGGAGGATGAACTCGGGGTCACAGTTCGTCAAAACCTCTCGGGCTTTAGAGTAAGCGTCTGCTTGGGCATCTGTTCGGTTCTCTGCTTCACCAATCATGATGAGATGACCAGCTAGATAGAGGTTACAGAAAATTTTCTCCTTTTCTATTTCTGTGTTCATGCTACGACGGTACAGACAAATGGGCGTCAATTTTACATCGTTGAAAATTCCATCCAAGACAGTAATGATGGATGCAGGATGCGTGGCACTGCTAAGTTCGTTCATTTTGACAAACTGTTCACGGAGATCAAATGCCCTAGGATTTGGTGCTGCCTTTACCAAAGTGCTCTGAACCTGTGCTTCTGCTTCTGTTATGACAGACTTTTCGACACCATCTAAGATGTTGCCATGTTCAACATTCATGGTGGTCAGTCGTTCAACCACCATATTATAACACAATGACTTAGCAGTTTTTTTGGAAACTGAAACACCTGCACCTTGTAGTATGTTGTCAATAAAGTACATGCCCTAATGATAAACTTTCCCTGATTCAGCTTTACAACTCTCTACATCATATCGACAACGGACTCGACATTTAGCCACAGAGGCCGCCAACTCCATTTTGCTGATTGAATTGGTTGAAGCATATTTAGGATTGGTTAGAATATCTTGGATCTGTTTCAAAATAGATGGTGGGGGTAACTTTGCAATTGTTTCTTTCTCCATCTTAGCAACGGTCGAGTTAAAATTCTCCAGTTTCTCCTTGATAACTTTTAGGGTCATATCATCCTGGTTCAAAATTTAGGTGACAGGAAGGGTACGATAAAGTTCCACCGCCTTCTTGAAACATGACAGTTTGATTTCTTTCTTGTTGATGCCGATAGCTCTGGCTAGGAACACACCACCCATATTAAGTCGGCCAGTGAAAAAGGATCCGTTCTTTCCTTGTACCATGCCATCGATCAAAAAATCTGGTCTAATTCCAACTTTACAACTCATCAGAGAATTCTCAAACAACTAAAATGAAATAAAATAGGGTTTAATGGGAAAGAGAGGAAAATGGGCTTTATTGTTCACTCGACACTAGGTCATTTCGGGACTAACATATAGTTCATTTTATTTCATTAGGGGTCTTTAGCAGTGGAAGGAAACCCTGAGGACATGGAGAAAACGCACGAGGTTGAACAGACGACCCTACTCCTTGTCACGTACAAGCGGGTAATGACGCATTAACGCTTCGACCACCCAAACTCGCCCCACTGGTCTTATGTAGATGGGCAAATAAAAGAATTTTATACGTAATACATGCTTGAATAAAAATAAAAATAAAGCAGAATCTGTGTTTTTAATGAGATTATTGTGAAAAATATTAAACATGCATTATGCAAGAGCTAAACCTGTCAATTTCAGGTCTTTCTTTAGGCCTGAAATCTTATCTAAATTATTAATTAGACATTAATTAACTTATCCAGACCATAATAAACTCCCGATGTCAAGGCTAGCCTTCGATGTCGACTGGATTACAATTCTATATGCTGCTATCGCTCATTGATAATTAAATCACAACAATAGACAATCGAGACTATTAGTTTCGAGGCTAGGCGAAACTTTCATCCGCTTAGTTTTCGGTTCATAGTGGACCAATTTGACTGACATTTTCAGCAAATTCCCTTTACATTATGTAGTTTTTAACTATTATAGTGAGAACTGCTAACTCGTTATCTTATCTCCATCTCCCATAATGTATCTTTAATAAATAAAACCTCACCATAATTTCATTGATTACTTTTTTTTCACTTTGTAAAAACATTGAAAGTCGTCGAATTTTTTCTGCTAGCGGCAATTTTGTGGCATCGATTGGTTCTGGGTTGGGTGTTTTGTGTACAGCGGCAGCAGGCAGACCTTTGTTATCAATGGGGCGTGTCTGGCAGCCTGGTAATGTTTCCCATTTCTTCTCTGTAAATAAACCATTAAAAAATGTAGTTTGTTAAAGCTTCATTTAGTAACTGTATTGAATAAACCATGACTAATATACCGGTGTATTAAATACAAGTTTTTTCACAGTTCATTTCTGACGACGTCTTGAAAAGTGTTCTCTTGTATTTATCAAGCCACAAACAAAATAAACTTCTAAATAACTTGTATTCTGAATATTGTTTAGTGCCCAGGTTCACTTTGCTTATTTCTGTTGATCAGCGGCTGGGGAGGGGGGGGGGGGGAATAGGTTTTACATTTAGATTCAGAACGAACATGATTCTTCTACAGCCATCCTTTTTACAGTGGTTACAACTTAAACATACAGGTTTCAAGTTTAACTGACTACCATGACTAGAGAATAGAATAACGTGATTTATCAACGAATTAACAGAATTTTAAAACAAAATTAAAAGCTTTTGAGCAGTAGTACGGTAAAAATTATGTGTGTCAAAAAGATAAGCACCACCGTTTAAAATGAGGTCTGTTTGATATTTAACCATCAACAATAAATTCAGATGGTTTTTATTTGGAACCATGTAATATCCATCACAAAATACTTCCAGCATAAGTCTTGCCACTCCAAGAAGAATAGTGTCAGGTTCCTTTGGTACCATGGTACTAATCAAACAAGAGGTGTTGAGGACGTGATCCAAGTGAGAGAGGGGGGGGGGTTGGATGGCTGAATGGTTAGCGTGCGCGCGCTGTATCATAAAGTCTGTCATTGAGTCAACTGGCGTGGTTTCGAATCCCCGGTTGTACGTGACAAGGAGTAGGGTCACCTGTCCAACCTCGTGGGTTTCCTCCGGGTCCTCCGGTTTCCTCCCACAGCTAAAGATCCCTACGCGCAAGCGAATTATGGAAATAAAATTGAACCATATGTTAGTCGAGTGGACGTTAAACCCCATTTCTCTCTCTCTCTCCAAGTGAGAGAGGGATACACATGACGATGTTTATCACTACTCTTGTCTGTAATCCTCATCCTTTTCCTGACCAGATCATCTAATGGACTCCTATATTTTTCGAAATCCTCAATTAAAAAATATCTATTACTTAAATGACCAAATATTCCTGTCTTGTTTTACTTTAAGGTGGTCCTTAACCTTTTGTCAGTTGTATTTATTTTTATAACTTACTTGCACCACCGGCACTGTTTGCGGGAGTTCCAACACCTCCTATAGAATTCAACTCATTGTTAAAAATATAATTTGCGGGTCACGGAAAGATAACTCTGTTTGGAAACATGGTTTGGTGTAGAGGAGTAACCGAAGTTGGCCGAGTGAAATCTGCAGCCGGTTGCCGAGTGAAAAATAGAAAGTAACTCATTGAAGATCCAGTATTGTGCAGCTGGAAGAAGCAAACCAGTTGTCAACATTTGGCTGCGTCGAGTTGTTTTGTTTAGATTTTGAGCGGATACTAAATCACCGGAATTCACTTTGCAAATATCAAAATTTGACCCCAAGGCCTACCTCTGTACATATATATTGCATTAATATTAATAATAAATAACTTAAAAACACCGATGATCACCGGAATTTACTTTTAAAAACATATAAACACCGGAATTCACTTTCAAAATATCAGAATTCGCCCGCAATCCCTTCCCTGTTTACATATATTTTGCATAATTAATATTAATAATGAATATCCTTAAATACACCAAAAATGACTACTACATACGCCTTTTAGATTTAATTTGGCTCTTTGTAAATTTCACATAATTGTTCATTTCGGGACTAACACTTGGTTCAATTATATTTCAATAATTCACATGCGCGTATGGATTTTTTGGAGAGGGGGCAGAGGAATCGGCTTACACTACATGAAGATCTGACCAGTTGTACTGGGAGGTCATGTCAGGTGTCATACAAACGGCTTTTGACCCTATGAAAGACATTGATTAATCAATCAGCTTTAACCTTTCTAGGGGTTTACCCACAGTTCCGTGAAGATCACGCCAAGAACTCGCCGTAACAGACCGTTTCATTAGCCTATAAAAGAACACTTGTCAGTTTGATTCCAAATCAGAGTAGGCCGCTGTCCGGACATAATTTCCTACATAGCACACCGTATGACATATGCCCATTTTAATTAGCCCAGACAGAACAGAACAGTAGGACATTAATCTTGATTTCGTTTCAAACATTTAGAAATATTTTTTCTCTATTTCAGATAAAACAAATTGAACAAGTTTGATCAGGAAAAACAATGAAATGAAATGGGGTTTAACGTGCTACTGTTTTGCTCCTTAACTGAGCTAATGAAGACGGGCATACGTCATACAGTGTGATATGAGGGAAATTGTGCCCAGACAGCGGCGCTACAGCCTACTCTTATATCGAATTCCAACTGCCAGGGGATCTTTTACGTGCACGCCAATTTGTACACGGCACCTCGGTTTTTCGTCCCATCCGAACGACTAGACAGCTGTCCTTGTCAGCACCCCCCCCCCCCCGTCCTGTGCCACTGACAAGGGGAAACCACGCCGGAAAATCTGGATGAACGTTCTCGGCCAATGCAGGGGTGGTGAAGTTCAAGGTAGACAAGTGAAATGATATGAAATAAGGTTTAACGTCCTACTGTTCTGCACCGACTGGGCTAATGAAGATGGGGATATACGACAAACAGTGTGTTATAAGTGAAATTTTGCCCGTACAGCGGAGTTGACACTTATTTCGAATTCCAATTGTCAAGGTTTCTTTAAGGTCCCCGCCAATGTGTACAAGGGTCCTCGGATAGTCGTCCAATCAGAACGACTATATGTTGCCACTTGTCTGTACCACTGACAAGGGGGAAATACGTCGGAAAAAAACGATGAACTTTCTCGGTCAACGATAATGAGACCTCCAGGTGAGCAAGACAACGTCCTACCAACTGAACAACCGTGGTGTCCTTTTGAAACTTGACAAAGTGAAATGAAATGAAATTTAACGTCTTACTTATCACCACCGACTGCAATGAGGGGCCTACTTTTATTTCGAATTCCAGTTGTCATGGCTTCTTTTACGTGCCCGACAACGTGAAGACTGTACAATTGCCCTCATAGTACACTGTATGGCGCATGTCCGTCTTCATTAGCCCAGTCGGAGCAGAACAGTAGGACGTTAAACCCCATTTCATTTCATTTCTTTTCTAAATATTGAGCTGGAGATTTTGATCGCAACTTTTTTTGAGTTTTTCCACCGGTAAATCGAGACTATACTATACCCTCAGTCAACCAGTCCCCTCTTACTTTATGACTCATTCCAAAATAAAACGAAACGCGACATTTTGTGTAGGTTTATGAGCCGGATGAGTGGGAGGGGCAGAAATGATGAGCCAGAAAAAAAAATCCTTTGGTTTTGCAACCGAAATCCCATGTTATTTCCACCCGAATTCCAATCAACCAATCAATCAGACGTTGGCATTGACCTGACACCAGAAATTTCACATCCCGGGAAACAAAGCTCATGCCCAATAAAATGTGGCGCATAAAGCAGAGTGACAAGTCTACAATGGCTTTAAACACTGTGTATTTTACTGATTTAAGATTTGTACCCACAGATCAATTTTAAATAATTTGGATTCCCGAAAACTTGATAATAAACAAAATGGTGGATATCTGAAAAGTATCACACACAATCCAATTAAAAGACAGATCCTATTTCGTTTCGTTTTTTATAGTTCAAAATTTCGTTTTACTTGTCTTTATTACACTAGGATCTGGAAGAGTTGTTATATT